GCCCTGGTGGCTCTTCTTCTTCGAGCGGAGGGATTCGAACACTACCGCTGCGACAGAAACATCTCCATGGGAATGAATCTGAACAACATGTCGAAGATGCTCAAGTGTGCCGGAAACGACGATATCATCACAATTAAGGCGGATGACGGCAGTGATACAGTCACTTTCATGTTTGAAAGCCCCAGTACGATCTTGTTCTTTCGTATTTCTTTGGTTATTTAAATTAGTTTTGACTCTTGTGCGTCGTTCTTGTAGTTATGTAGTTTTTAGGTTATCAGTCTGCTTTTCTTCCTCATCTCTGTGAAACTTGTTGATCTGTTAATTTTAAGCTACCGGAGTTGCATGTCGAGGTTCTTTAGGTCTCGAAAATATTGTATGGTCATGCAGTCTATGTCAAGTGGTTAGATAGAAGCAACATCTATAGTTGATAATCTAGTGTCCGTGAAGATTTACATGGAACATGATCTGTATCCTTGGTCTAAGATTTTGTCAACCAACTTAAAACTTCGATCACCTGCAAGTTGTCATGTCTTTCTGTCAAATTTTTACACGCTTTCTCCGGATCTGGTGACTGCTTTCCTCTAAAGTGCTTTGGGAAGTGCATAACTGATGTTTTCTTTCTTGCCTCTTTTCCGTCCTCTGCATGATATCAGCCCAAGACAAGATTTCTGATTTTGAGATGAAATTGATGGACATCGACAGTGAGCATCTTGGAATTCCAGATGCAGAATATCATGCTATTGTTAGGATGCCTTCTGTTGAGTTTGCTAGAATATGTAAAGATCTCAGCAGCATTGGTGATACTGGTATATATTGATATCCGTCTGTGTTTTTTCTGGTTAATGTATATGATAAATTCTCGGATTATTCAAGAACTAATTAAGTTGCCCAATTCTTGCAGTTGTGATTTCTGTGACAAAGGAAGGTGTCAAGTTCTCAACCAGAGGTGATATTGGATCTGCCAACATCGTTTGCAGGCAGAATACTACTGTAGACAAGGTCTGCACGTGTTTTTAAATCTGAAGTAATCTCAATTTGTTTTCTTAATCTATTTTTGAATTCTGAATGTTGATTCTTGCATTTTGGGCAATGCAGCCTGAAGAAGCAACAGTCATAGAGATGAACGAGCCGGTTTCTTTGACATTTGCTTTGAGGTATATGAATTCGTTCACCAAGGCCACACCCCTATCCAACACAGTTACTATCAGCTTGTCTTCTGAGCTACCTGTTGTTGTTGAGTACAAAATAGCAGAGATGGGATATGTTAGGTTTTACTTGGCTCCCAAAATAGAAGAAGATGAGGATGAGACAAAGCCTCAGGTCTAGACTTATTGAGTTGCAACTTATAAATCCATTTTTAGGATGTTCCTCTAACTTTTTTTTTTTTTAAATGTAGTATAGCAGTTATGATTTGTAATTTAAGAGTTTTTCCTTGTCCAATATGTACTTCTGCTTATGAGTTTTCAGTTTTTTATTTATTTTTTCTCTTATCGTATCTTCAGTTAATTTTGATAATAGGATATTTGAGGGATTTTGAGTGTTGTGGTAGAAAACCACTCTCTAAAATGTTCATATTTATGCAAGGAATTATGTTGGTTTTTGGATCCAGCTCCATCCTCGAGATTGTGCTGTGTAAATTGGCTCTCATAGGGTAGAACTATATTGAGGAGGAAAGTGACGAAGCAGCAATTTAGTACTGCTTGCTGCGTTCAGAAATAACTGTTTGATTCGGGTGAATGCCAGAAATAACTGGTTCAGCAATTTAGTAGGTTTCGTGCATTTTCAGTTTATCTATATGAAGATTTAGGAATGATGAAAGGCAATAATAGGGAAAAAGAATGAAAGGGCAAATGAGCACAGATGTGATATGGGTATCTTTGTTTAGGTTTCTTGTAAGATAGCGATAGAGATGGGAGACATTTACTCTTATTGGATTGAGATAAAATATTATATTATTTTTATTAAGTATTCTAAGATTATTTGATTTCATAGAAATTTAGTAATGTAAATGAGTATTTGAATTAAGCATTTAATTATAAATTTCTTTTTAAAAAATTAGTTGAGAAATTATTTAAAATTAATAATAATAAGCGGAGAATTCCCACTCTCAAAGGTGCTCTGGGGTGAACCGTCAGAGCCATTTTGTGGTGCTTGTAGAAAGAAAGGAATAGCAAGGTCTTTAACAATTCCATTTCTTTTTTTTTTTTTTTTGTACAGATTACTGCTTCTTGGTATTTAAACCATAAGGTTCTCTAAGTTCGGTTTCGTGCATTACCATCGTTTATTATAATCAGTCACATGAAATTGTTAGATTTAGTAATTATACAGAGGGGTCCACTTATACAATATCAATAGTTTCACATGGACGATTACTATTGTTATGAGCAGTAGTCTTATACAGCCGAATAGTGTTGCTCAGTATTTTTCCTACAAGTATATCATTGTCTCATTTCTGATGATTGAGTTCTGCTTGACACTTAGAAGATTACCTCTCTGCCACATAAAAGTTGAAATTTTAATGTGAATAGTCCAGATTCAGAACATACAATATACAAAACTGGACGTTTCACATGCCTGCTGTCTATTACTGTAATGTAAGGTACTCCCAGATGTAAACTTGGGTTTAGTCCCCAATTTCTACGCTACACCAAAAGGACTAGACGAGCCTGTGAAATGGTGGATTGATCCGAAAAGACTTTTTGCTGCCCCAAAGTGTGTTATTCTGTACATTCCTGGAATTGCAGTTTTAGGGATTCTCCATTCTATGGTTGCATGACTTCGACTGCTAAGTTTGAACGGTCTCGACCACTTGAAACGCAGGCAGAAATCATCATCATCGTAGGCTGGAACCCACAGCTTTTTGCTGTGGAGAATCTCCACCAGGGCAAACGTACCTTCAGTCATAAGATCGTTCCGAGGACAGGCTGACCAGAAGGTAACCGTCACCATATCGCCTCTGTTGAAGGTGGAATTCTTGGGAACATCAGATCTTATATCCCCAAATTTTATTGAAGTAGGAGTCGTATCCATCACAACAGGTGGTAGTAAGCCTATCTGCTTGTCTAGTAAATCTGGAGGTTGTGGCCCTGCGTCAACTTCTCGGCCATCTATGAGTGCACAGGCAAGCTTCTTAAACTCCTGAATGTAGGCACTGAGAGTGTGAGGACCGTATAACGTAGAAGCGCCCTGAAAACAAAGATCTTACATTGATAAGTCGGAAAATGCGAAGTTCTTGGCAGTTGGCTGTGCTACACTGCTTTTATGCGTTCTCAGAGCTAGCAGCTAGGAGAGAAAATTAAGAATCCAATAATACCTCAATAATAAGATGAACAATAAGATGTGTTCATGCAGAATTCCAAATAGCAATATCAAGATTACAGCGTTTACAAGTTTCAGGTTTTTCGACAAGGAAATGTAATTTTTTCTGATAATCCTCATTATCTGTAACCAATACCATTGGGTTGAATTTTATCCCTGTTTCACCTTACTAATTTTCTTTTCCTGTGGCTAAATACTTCTCACTATGAGAGAATCTCCTAAATCGCCTCTAAATCAATTTCACACACGACTCTCTACATATAAATCTTACCTCATATCTCTGCACCTGGTACTCTTCGAAAGTGGTGACATACTGTGAATAAGAATTTGTTAGTCCTGCAATAACAATATGAATGTCGCCACTTAATCCATTTTTATCTCCATCGGTAAGCACGGTCTTCACAGCATCACGAAGGCGCCTTCCAGCCATTGTTGTGAATTCTGGTTGGAAAAGAAGTCCAGCAGTTCAGGATGGATGTAATAAAGTGACTATGGAATTATAATTTCTGGGAAAATATAACAAGAACCTTTTATACAATGAAGGTAGACATGAAGCTAATGGAAAGCAAACTTAAACATAAAATGAATATCAACCTATTAACTGTCTCCTATTACCCCAAGAACCATGGATTTGTTCAACTGGATCTATAGTTTGCTTTACCATTATTCCTCTTTTTTGTAATTTCAAACACCCTTCTAAAAAATAGGAAAGTATTTTTTTTAAGAAAAAAAAGACCCTTAGGAAATTCCTTTTGGGTTCCTAAGGCTGGATTGTTCAAGAGTGGGAAATAGGGGCTCTTTTCCACCTAAATTTTCTCATGAACCTCTCCACAACCAGGTTTCAGAACTTCAACTCCTTGGATTCCCTCCAAAATAAAATCCAAAGAAACAGAAAAAATAAAAAAGAAGAGGAACGTTAACAGCATAGATATCCAATTAAGCTAAATTCACTGATAAACGTAGGCTTTCTCAAATAATTTATGAGCTGAAGAAGATCGAGAACTTTTCCCAATCCATAGATGTAAACAAGGGAGTATCATCCACAAATTGAAGATAGGTTAGAAGATGAGAGAGATCCTTCCTGTCAGGACATGGACGGTCTTCCCTGGGGCCTTCTATTTCCATTGATAATGATAAAGAAATTAAAGCTCAAAATATTCCCCACATTCACCTCCTCCAAATCAAGCCAATTAGTTTGTAACTTGTACCACTTGCACTTCAGACATAATTTAGCCAATTAGTTTGTAACTTGTACCACTTGCACTTCCGACATAATAATATATGCATAATTTGACCTACTTGGTCCACCCAAGCTTTTGGTTTGCACAAGAATCGCATACAAACTCATTTGTAGGAAAAACTAACAACTTCAACAAGCAATTTCTGCAGGTGCAAATATTGAGATTTGAAAGCAGCATGTACAGTTTTATAACAAAAATGGAGGTCGAATATGAAGGTGAGTTTCTCAATATCTGAACAAAATGTATAGACTGGTAAAAAAAAGTAGGATAAAGAAACCTACAACCTCCAGGTACTCCAAGAATGATTAGCTGCCCTACTCTGAGGATTTGGATGGGAAGTATTGAAGGCTGTAGAAACAATGAAAAATAAATTCTCAGAATACGTGGATTTGGATAAGTATTGACCCATATGTTCCATGATCAGAGGAATTCAGATGCGGTTTCATTAGTCATATTTTATTGGTGAGCATCCCTCAGTTTAATATTGTAGTATTTTGTCGCATGTTTATAATTTTCATGCATTCACTACTTAAATATAAAGAAATCCTGACTACGATCGTCGATTGTAAATCTAATACTGAAAGACGTGGACTGATTATTTGAATTAACCAAGAAAATTTTGCTTCTGTTGAAAAAGAGTATAAACTACTGAACCCAGAGATTTGTGTCAATTCTTTTTTGTAATCACAATTATTGATTACAGTGTTACCAGCATCCTTGCAAAGAAATTTAAAGTGACCATATGGCCCATATCTAATTTGAAAGAGTTATGATACAGATTTTAGTTTTGAATTCTCATATTTATTCCATTTTAGTCCCTAGACTTTTGAATATTCTATTTACTCTTTGGACTTTGCATAAAACTCATTTTAGTCCTTATCGTTATTTTCTTAAAATTATTTATTGTTTGTTGACCACATGATTAGATGTCTATATGAACAGGTATGAATCTACATGTATGTTGTAAGTTAGATATTAAATTTCTTTTTATTTTATTTTATAAGAAACCGAACTTTTCATTGGGACAAATGAAAATAGGAACACATATAAAGGGCATACAAAAACAAAAGCCGGAGGAATACCTAAAGAAAGGGCTTCCAATCCAAAAGAATAAAACTTAACTGATAATTACAAAACAAATGCGAAACAAACTCCCATTAAGAGACATTAAATCTAATGAGATCCCAAATAGACTCCCTATCCCTCTCCACTCACTAAAGATTATGTTGTTTCTCTCCAACCAAATCCCACACAAAGTCTCTGAAGCAGGACCAAAGCAGGATTTTGACCTACATTATGAACCTCTAATTTTCATGAATGTGATTACTTTACTATGGGAGTTATATCTATATTAATCAACAAAATTACTATACTTCACAAGTAAATAGTATTTGCAGATTTTAAACAGATATGATATAAAGAAGCAAAAAAATTTATCATTGCTAAGAAAAGTTTATTGATTGGAACTTACAGCCCACTCATACGGTTTTCTCATTTCACCAGTATCCAGCAAGATGGGCTTTGGCTGTTGACAATCAACTTGTTCCTTCCCTGGTTTCTTCAAAAGATTGCGTATGAACCTCCAAAAAGGATTTCCCTGATAAATTAACATCATTGAGGTATAAAAGGATGGTAAAAGAGTTTATAAGATTGGATAAAAGCATCCATATCGTAAAAACTACCAACCAATATCATCATTACCTTGTCATCTCCTTGCTCAAAATCAAAAGCACCTGGTCCATCAGTGGTTCCAGCGGCAAATGCGAAACCCATTGCAGCAGGACATGTTTGTACCACTTCAGTAGTTCCTCCACGTTCAAGAGTTACCTCAAGCTGAGAGAAGTCTACATATGTGTGACGGTAATCAACCTTTCCTGTTAACTGCTCTGATGCATGACTAAATAGATCAACTGCTTTTCTGAATTGTCTCTTTCCTATAATCCGCGTGCTTTCGAATTCATCTGGATAACTGCCATATTGACATCACAATTTATTTATAGCTTCTCTGAAATTGTATAAGGTTCTTCAATGCAGGACGCTTACCCTGGTCCTCTGCCGTAGCATAGCTCATTCTTCCCATCACAGGTACTGTGATTGAAATCACATGGAAGTCCAGTATCTATACAGAATGTTCCAAGAACATTTGGGCTAACATCACCGCAGTTTGATTGACAAAATGCAGACACAAATCGGGGTTTGTCGGCATTCCTGAGGGCACCCCTGACACGCTTTGAAGAACTCAGAATTCTGGTTGCTGATCTACCGGAAGGAGATTGGAATGATACAGCGAGCTCAAGTAACTCATGATCTGTGTCAGAAAGATACCAGGAAATTGAGAATGATATGTTTCCTATCTACAGAAGAACATTCTTTTTTATTTATTTGTTGACTTTTACAGTTATCTGCTACACTTATGCAGCTTCAAAGAGTATTCATAATCAAAACCAGATGCGCGATGCATATTAGACATTTTAAAACGTATTTACGCCTTCTGCAGTTAAAATTTACTCTACTCTACTGGTCAGTACCTGATAGGATCTAAGGAGTAAGGATAGACACACTGGATGAATCCACTAGTTATAATATACCATGAGAAGCCCATCGTATCATGTAAATCATTGAGTACCCTACCAAATATGTCACAGTCGCACCAATAATTTACTTTTGGCACACATCTTAACCAAAAGAGGAGCGAACAAAATTGACAAGTCAAGTAGGTGCTTGCTATGAAAGTATAACAATTCATTGGATCTTGTTTTAAGGTGGTTAAGATTTTTCTATGGTTATCATTTGGTGAACATCTTTTTAATTTACTGGTTGAGATATAGAAAGGAATAATGGTATTGGTATGGGAAGCTAGGTTAAGGTAATCTTTACTAGAACTATAAATTCAGGCAAGAGAGTAGACCCAATCCCGTACGTGAGGTTAAAGTTGGTGAGAGGATGACAACTGGGACCGGTCCCATATTAAGTATCGGAGAGAAAATATCGTCCCTTTCCTATCTTCTGATTTTAGAAACAACTTAAAAACATATTACCTAACATAAATTATAATATAGCCAGAAGAATTGATTGATCAGAAACATGGCTGTTCAAACATTTACAGATTTTCTGGCCCTATCAACATTGATAAAGGAATTACTGAGGAGTTGGTATGTAGAGATATCAGACCATTTGGTACAGACTAATGAACAAGCAGCTATAGCAAATACAGAACTATAGCTGTAACCATACTATACATTCATCCACATTACCTGTCCCAGCTTATCAGTTTCCAAAAGTTGAATCGATTAAACAGCACTTTGAGGTAAAGCTTGTGAAAATAACTTACAATTAATGGACAGGTCTGGTATTATGTTTGAGACTCTTCGTGGGATTCTGTCATCTACAGATATATCCAAATCCAAGTTTATACCTCCTTTTTTCTCAAACCAGTCCTCCATGAATCGTGCAGCAGCACCTTTGTTGTCCCCACTAATTAACGAGTTTGTACGACTCATAGAAGTTCCATGAGTCGAAAACCAATTAAAGCTACCAATAGGGCCCCACTCCTGATCCACAAATTTTAGAAGTGTCATCTGCTTGTCAACATTGTATTTGTATTTACGAAGCTCTTCTCCAGGGTTATTGAGATATGCACTAGGGCTGCGGTTTACACCTGCATCTAACAGCTTTCCTGCAAGTTGAGAAACCAAAAACGTAGGCAATTCATCTTTCAATACTCCAAAAAGTGATCCAATCTACAATGAGTTGCTTCATGCAGTCATCAGATGAAATCTCATATTGTTAGATACAAACAAAAGCATTCTATTCCACACGATACTCACAGAATCTGTGTCTATGCCATCTTGAGAACATACATATCTCTTTGCAGTAATATAAAATCACTAAGGAAGAGAAAGAGAAAAATGCAGCACATCCACTTAATAAAGTGCAATGAGCATGAGCCCTATCCCTTACCCTTGTTTATGAAAATTGATCCTGGGCGCAGATTCTCATGAGCCTCTATAATGCTGTTCTCAATACCATTTACAAGGGCATCAAATGACTGTCGCACAAATCCAAGAGATGTCACTATGTATACAATGTACTGGAGATAACCACCTGGTCCAGCATGAGTATGGATTCCACTAATGGCGACATTTTTTTCAGTGTAGAGGTTTCCATACCTGAAAATGAACGACATTACAAGCTGGCTCCAAAGTCCAAACGACTTCTCCATCCCCCATTACCAAATTTCATAACGAAATAAACATCAATAATACATATAGATTTCTAGCAATCCTCTTAACTTACAGAGCCATAGTTTTAGGTTGAGATGCAATGTTTCAAATACCTTGCCTTCAATCTCTGGAGCACCTTGATCGTCACCAGCTGCGAGGCCATGCAAGCATCGAGATTAACGAATACAACCCTTTCTCCTTGTGGCTCCGCGACAATGAATGTACGAGCTCGCAATCTGAAGTGAACTCCTGATGCAATCTGCTCCATGTTGGCATATCCCATCATGTTGACATCCGCCGCCGGCCCAGTGATGTCGTAGCTTCCAACCCCGATCAAATAGTTGGAGTCCGACGAGAAGCCTTTATCATTCTGCAGCAGTAGTAATGCACAAGTCCAAAACAGAGCTTCACACGGTCTCCGAATGATGAAATTAAACAGAGAAGGAACTTCCATCGCTCTCGCCTCGATCAGGTAGGGACGAACATCAACGACTTCTTTAACCCTTTCCGTTGTTCTTCATCGATAATTTCGTACTTCCTAACGGAAATCAAATGAAATTTGAAGTAAAAGAAAATTGAAGGAAGCTCGGGATGAGTATAGCATGCACTGCAGACAGATTTCTCAATAAATTGCGAAGTCAAACTCGTGAGTTCACACAAAATTCTTCTTTCCAGTGAGAGCTCAGTTGAGATTGAAGAGTGATCATCAATGGTGAAAAAGACCGATTTATTTATTTATTTATTCTTCTTTTGAGAAAAAATGCAAAAACCAGCTCTATAAACGTGTTCCAACTTCCAATATTCTCAACTACTCAATGGAGACGTGATCCACCCCTTGAACTAAAAAAATAATAGGAAAATTATAATAAATGCTAAATCACATAAAATAAATATATATTTATAAAAAAACATAAATCATTTTTTAAAATGGCACAAAATAGTTTTTAGTTTTTTTTATTTCCAAAAGATTTTTTATTATTTTTTTAATAATAAAATAGTTGTTAGTTGGTATAAATATGTATAATTATCCTGTGTTTTAATTTAAATTAGTACCCATTTATCCCCTTCCTTCTCACAATTTGAACAAGGTCACAGTTTTTTTCCTCCCTTTCTTTTGCGTCGCGATTTGTCAATGCGACCATAGCTCACAGTAACTGGTATATGTCTTCAATCATAAAGTTGTGAGTTCGATCCCTCATCTCATATTGTACTAAAAAAAATCGCAATTTATAATAAAATCCAAACCGTTAAGACAAATATAAAATATTATAATTGGGTCACAGGATTTAAATTAATCGGTCAAAAATTTTAATAACAATTTTTAAAATAAATAAAAAAGTAGACATATTGGAGAGCGAATATCAGCATGCCACATGTTGACAATACATCAAATCAAAAGACGAGTATAACACTTTGGACATCTTTATCTAAAGTATATATATACCCTCAAGTATGATTTATAAGGTCGAACTTCCTCTAAGTATATCAATAACCACTTAATCTCTCCATGGCCAAAAAACGTGTTGTCCACCTATAAATATTAAAAGTAACTCCACCCTAAGATACGTGTGACTTAGTTACAAATTTTTTATTAAATAATTCGTCTTGAAACTAACTTGAACGTTAGAAGTCCTTGCTACTGTTTTGCAGGTACCATTTTGATTTGTTTCTCGAGAATCTCTCAAAAGACTATAGGTAAATATACGACAATTTGATAACTATGAGAATTGGAGATTTTTTTGTTTTGAGAATTGGAGATTTATAAGATTTAATTTTTAACCTCAAGGAAGAGAATTGATATATTTTCACTAATCCCTCGAACTAAAAACAAAAACCAAATCAAAATAACAAAACAAAAAGAAAAAGGAGAAAACACATATAAAGAGTTGTTTAGGGATGAAATTGTAATTCTGGAAATAGAAAGGGTATCTCAGAAATGCACGAAAATTGCCCATCTTCATTTGGCAGAGAACCATTGAGCAAGAAATAGCGATACCAGAGAGAAGGGCAACAAAACCTAGAGAGATACGCCGATGTCTGTCGCGAACAGAGCTGCGATCACCCGAGCCCTAGATTTCTCCAAGTTATCTTCTACCTTCATCAGAACCTTCAGCACTTCTTCGCCGTCAACCTCTTCCTCGAACCCTAATGCCTCGGCTGCTTCCAGTTCAATCAAGCGGAGGAAGAAGAAGAAGAACCTGTTCGAAGTTGTTCAGTTTTTGCCTAAATGGGGAGTAGGATACCATGTGGCCAAGGCTCACTGGGATGAGATATCCTACCAGATCACCAAAATCAATCTCTACAAGGTCTGTCTCCATCTGATTTTTATTTGAGATCCCTCTCCCTCTATAATCTGCAGAAAATTTTGGAACAAATGATATACAGTTTCTGCTGGTGATTACCATTTCTCGTCTGGATTCAAGTAAAAAACTGATAGGGGGGTTTTATAGCCCTTTTCGGGTTAAAAAAATTGGTGGGGTTTCGTAATTTCTTTAATCGTCGACTAGGAAGTCTATAATTTCAGACTCTGGAGACAGATATTTGACGCTTTCTCTATAACTATTGGTAATCAAACAGGAAGTTTTTCAATCTGTTTTCCTTCGGGACACTATGATTCGGGGTTTAAGATTTTCTTACGACTTACTTTGCAGAATGGCAATCATGGCAAGGCATGGGGTATCGCTCACAAAGATGGTTAGTGATTCTACATCACGAAATCTAATTACTCAACCGTTGTTGGAATTTCATTTTAATATCCATCATGTTGCTGGAATTTTGTTCGAATATTTAATTAAAAGAATTAGAATTTATACATACTTGAATCTAATATATGATCCTTTTAACTAGGCTAAATTCTACAAGTTGGGACCATGACATCAAGATTTCATGCTCTATAGTTAATTTAAATGCGTGATTAGGAAAGATGAAAGTTAGAACAGTAGTATTCACTGTTTACTAATCTTTGTACCTGGTGCCTCGGATCATGTTTCATGACAATTTATTTACTGTATTGTGTATTCTATTGTAAATAGTCTGCAAGTATTCAAATTTTGAGGCATGAGGTCCTGAAAGGTTTAAGCTGGAGTTCCGTTTAGAAAGTTGGCCCTTTAGATTGGTTCCTTTTGAAGTCTCTAACGAGGCAACTGCAGCGTTGGTAGTCGATATAGCCAAGCCAACCAACCATTATTGTATTGCTTACAAATGAATGTTAAAATTTGAGTTTCTATAGACTTATCCGTGTGCCATTGTTACGTTTTGCAATCTACTTTCATTGACGACTGAGGTTGAATAATGTAACGAACAATCGTTCCAGGCATGCCCATTGCAGAAGCTCCAAAGAAAATCAGCGGAGTTCACAAGCGCTGTTGGAGGTATATTGCAAGGTTGTCAAATCATGAGAGTATACCGACCACGACGAAATCAATAGAAAGCAACCCATCAGCCGAAGTTCAAACTTCATGACTGCAGAGAAATTTAAGTTACTGATGCTTTTTGGCCAACCTTATTTCCCGGTTCCTTCTAGTCTCTCCAGATTAGCCTTGAATATAGTTGTGTTTCTTAACTCCGTTATTTGAGGGACATGCTGAACTTATCTTGTTACCAAGATAAAAGAAAGATCAATGAATCATCCCGAACCAAGTGTAAGTTGAATCTGTTTTCTGAATTGTTTTCTCAGTTATTTGTGGATTTCTATGTTTAATAGAAGAGGTTGAGGAATCTAGTTGATCTTGTTGATCCGTGTTTTGTTGTGTTGTGAAACAATGTTCTTTTTTCTTTCCTTTTTTTTTCCTTTGAACATGGAAGTTATTAGGAATTTATTTGGAAGAAAAAATTTAAAAAAAAAACTATTTTCTTTTAAGTTTAAATATTATTTTGGTCATTGTACTTTTAGCTTTGGTTCATTTTTTTAATGTCTGGATTTTCAAAATGTCTATTTTAATTTCTATAATTTTAACTTTCGTTCAATTGTGTTGACTATTTTAGTCTATGTTTGCAAAATTTAACGCATTTTATACACAGTAGAAATCTTTTAATACAAATTTATGACTACATTTCTAGTAATTTAATGATTGAAGTATCATGTTAAAAATTTGATCGAAGTAAAGCAGATGAAAATGAAAGAATGGTTAAATTTTCAAGTATAGAGAAATTGAGAATGAATAAACAAAATGAATGTTTCAGAAATTAAAATAAACCAAAAAAAAAATTGAAAGAAATTGAGAATTGTCTAATTTTGTTTGATCTCTCTTATTAGTTGGTTTTTGAGGATGAATAGTCAGCTTACAAGGATTCACGGTTCAACTGGAAAAAAAAGGTTCCAATGTTAATATTTTCAATTTTGAATAGTTTAAATAAGAGTTTGGAGTGACAATTTGACCGTCCAATGCTTAAAATAGGTTATTAATGGCTTAGATTGATTTTGGAGCATCATTTGAGGTAGATGTCACGAGTTCAAATTCCCTCCCTAACATGTTGTACTAAAAAAAAATAATAATAAACCAAAGAAATTAAACGTAATACCAGATTTCTCTTATACAAAATCCTTCAGTTTATGTATATACCTAACATTTTACTTTCTCGAGCTGGCAATAAAAATATAATTCAACTAATTAAAATATTAGTAATCATTTATGTTTGTATCATTTTATTTGTTTCAATTAAAAAAAAAATTATTTGTTTCAACCGAAAAGAACAGTATACTTGGACTACTGTGACAGTCCACCACAACTTAGACGACGTCGTTTAACAATAGCAACCACTCCAATCACGACGACTTGGTCTTAAGATGCATGCATTAAGAAAAACAGTGACATTAAATACTAAATTAGAACATTGGAAACTGAAGAAAAACAATAGGTTTTTTCCTCACCTCAGTTCAGTTCTCTTTTTTTCTGGATAATTTCTCTGCTTTTCAGCACTGACCAAGGGTACTATTTTAAGCTCATCCAGCAACATAATTATCATATAAACTTTTGATAAGATATGTATTAATCGGCCATTTTGAAGCTTTAATCACCAATCTTCAGACAGTATTCAAGGCTAGAATGGTGGGAAAATCAGTTTCTCTTTGCAGCCAATCTCAGACCTTATCATCAAACTCATGTAGCAAAGAACACAAGAAGAGATTTGACATCTGAGCAGAACACAATCACAGATAGCTCTTGTGGGCAAAGAAAATATAAATTTGCACCACCGACACCAACTCAACAAGTTTCGTGATCAAACCCCTTTCGGCGTTGCAGAAACTTAACAGGAAAAGGAAAAAAAAAAGGAGAGAGAGACATACAAATAAATATAAGAATGTTAAATTAAAGATATAAATACCTATACACTTTTCAAGTTCTTTCTTTTTTGGATTCCAGTGAAGTTCCATCTCTGAGAGTTTCCTGAGCATCATTTTCCATTCCAAGGATGAAGAGAGCGGCAGCTTGAAGATATAAGGCAGTTGGCCAGTCCGGTGACACCACTTGGGCTTGCATAGCATCTCCTAGAGCTTCCTGTGGCATATCACTCATTAAGTAGCACAAGGAACGTCTCGCAAATACTGTTGGTGATACCATGGTTCCTCCATCTATGAACTGCACACCATGAAAACAAGAGAGATTATTTCCAATAACAGCATCACTGTTAGCAAATCGAGCACCAAAACATGTCGGTTCGTCTCCTATGTTGTTGTAATCAGTTTTCTCCATTAAGTATCAGTCTTCCAAACAATTGTAGACCAAACTGTATTTTTAAGGTCGTCTTCAGTTTCTATTTGATTTAGAATGATGAGCTGAGTTTTTGCCAAGATTCTAGAACATGATATGAGGTTTTACTGGCATTTATGTGAGGATTTGGAGGATAACAATTTGGATTGAAGTATTCCATCTTTGAAAGTTATCACATACTTGTGTGTAACAATCGATGGCAGTTATGAAGTCTTTAGCTCGAAATGCCGAGTCCCCACGCTTCTTAGAATTGAGTGTCTCTTGTATTTGGCTTGTCCACATTTGGAAAGAAAGCTGCAAAACAAAGAAAATTCTTTACTGATGAGCAATGAAGCAGATAGTGCACCTAGTTAACCATATAACGTTGTAAGGCATCATCTATTCATCTTCATCGTTAGAATGTAAAATTAATGGAGTCAAATTCCGTCGAATGAGGAAAATGGAGATTAGGTTCAGCCTAATTTTACGTCTCTTGGAAAAAACAAAGAGTTCCTAATGAGAAAAAACGTTGTCTCCATAATCTCTGAACTTAGAAAATTAAATTATAAACGAATTTGCCAACCTCATTTGCAACTCCCTCATCATCCTTGTATCCAGCCTTCTCCAAAATTTCATGTATTGCAGTAAGATCCGTTCTTGAGCAGGCCTCCCCAAAAGGTGATAATGACATTTGCTTGGAGGAAGCATTCCCATGTGAAATGCCCATAAGAACGTAAGAAGGAACCTGACATAGACCAGCGGATAGAACTGTATAAATTTGGATGATTCTTTTCTGCATTATTGCCAACCAGCTTAATAGAATATAACTGGGCTATGGCCTATATTATATTAGCTGGTTGTCATACTTTGAAGTCCTATGCAGTTCATATCACATACGGTATCAAACTCAGCATCTTTTGCATACTATAGGAAGTGGTCAGACTTATATGGATGATTAGTACCAGTACAATTAATCGGACATGGTTGTACCTCGGTTTCTTTCTGAAGAGCAGTGAGAGCAATTACAAGTGACTTGACATTTGGCCTCTCACGAGGTTCATACTGTAAACATCTTGAAGCCAATCTCACTAGTTCAGTTCCATCATCATTAGAGAAATGACCTTCTAAACATGAGTCCATCAGCATCAGGAAATTTTTTCCACGGATAAGATCCAGTGCCTGAGAAAAAGTGAACTTCGTCAGCATGAAGTTTCCAAATTTTAGAGAAAGCCAGTGCAGTGATTCTTTAAAATGCTGAGATTAGTCAGAGGGACATGCAAGTTACTGAAGCTAGATTCTAGAAACACAAGTTTTTTGTATTAAACAAATTCGGTTGTATTTCAGAATAAAGTCAATGAAATTTCCACATGTACAGAAACTTCTAAGGAGAAAACAGATTTACGTGGCTAGGAGGAATATGTTTGCCACTGAGAAGATCAAGCAATAGAGTGCCAAAGCTGTACACAACACTTTCTGGCGTTATTCTCCCTGTCAGAAAGAAATTCTACAGTTAGCATAATGTACAACTGACAAATATGGTACTGATTGTGTGCATACTTGTGGAACCTTTTTAAACAAAGTCATAACCATTTTGTTTGTTTAGTTTTTTGTTTTTTAAAATTATTACTTGTTTGCTCACAATCTCTTTTGTATGTTTTAAATTTTCTTAGAAACACATTTGAACTCTAAGCCAAATTTCAAACCAAAAAAAAAAATATTGGAAACTACTTTTTTTTTAGTTTTCAAATGTTAGCATAGATTTTGAAGTTGTTTTTAAAAAGTAGGTACAAAACAAAGAAATAAATCGGTGAAAATCGTGTTTACAAGCTTAATTTTAAAAAATGGAAAATGAAAAACAAAATGATTATTAAACCCGGGCCTAAATTTTAGAATTTTATTAACCAATCTCTAATAACGACTTAACCACACCACATCTAGAGTAAGTTGCAAATGTTCAATACCTGTCCTCATGTATTCTGGAGGGGTGAAAGCGAGGTTGGTACTATAGCTCTTTCCATCTCTGCTATTCTTCATGAGGCCAAAACAGGAAAGCCTGGGATTACCTTCCTGTCGAGTTTTTCTTATTATAAAGAGAACATGATATAAATCCAAACATCAAAAAGAGAGGGAAAAAAAGGCAGAAGTATGGTGAATACATTTATGTACCTGATCAAAGAGAACTCTATAGGCATTAAGGTCATGGTACAGTGCCCGCCCCTTACTACTGCAGTACTCCAAAGCTTGTGCTAAATATAATGCCACTCGAAGCCTCATTGCCCACTTCATGGGCTGTGTTTCCCCTGAAGAAATCAACCATAAAAGTGTCCAATTAAAGGGCTAAAAGGGCACGTGAACTTGATCCTAATGGAGCTGATAATGTGTTTCTTCCTATTTCGGCCAGTAATGACCCCAAAACCGAATTAATTATCTGATATACAAAACATTGTAATCAAAATCCATTTCATCTCTTGGGTTCTAGAAGAAAATGAAGAAAAAAAAAACATGCCAAGCTAATTTCAATATGATCAAGAAAAGGCTAAATCCATGAAAAGAAATTTCAGCATCACATCCACAAATTTTAGTTGAATAGAAGAGGGAAAATGGCCCTAGAAGAAAAATTACAATGAAAAAGGTGCCTGGAAAGAGTTTCATTGGGCATGAACTCGGCCACTAGTAATCTCTCATTGCCCTCACAGCAGCATCCAATCAAATTTGCCAACCGCTGATTCCTTAGCTGCCCCACGGCTCTAGCTTCATCCTAAAAAGCCAAAATACAGTTATCACCTTAAATGTTCCTGCTTAGCCATAAGTATGCATACTCACAGCTCGTCAACATTGAGGCAATGTATAACAAAAGTAAGCACAAAACTCAAATGAGAGCAAAATCGCGGACCAGGAATTGGCGAGAATCGGGCCAGGCTGACTTGTTGAAGCGCTTCACAGCGACCATTCGGTCATCTTCAAGCTTGCCTCTATAAACAACATTAGGCGCTTTCTCTCCGTGCTCAGAAACAATGTTCTCCGAAGAAAATCCCGAAGTAGCAGCTCTAAGCTGATCAAAGCTGTACTCGCAGAATCCAGGCAATGCGTCCTCGTTTTCTGCATTCACAGCACAAACAAACAATGAGACCCTAGTTCCATTCCAACAACAGAAAAGCTCCATCACCAGATAAAAACCAGGGAGTAACACTTACCGGCACAGGACAAGTCGTTGAGATTGGATTCGATCTGAGAAGGCCAAAAACAGAGACCAAATCTGGAGCAACGAGCTCCCATTGCAGAGAGAGAAAGTTGAATCCTCTGGTCCTGAATCTTCCACGACCACAACACAGCTTGCTCTGGCAATCAATCACGCAGTGGCACTGTATTGAGCAAAGTAAATAGTTGAGAGAAAAAGGCGAAGTTGAAGTAGAAGTAGAGCTGGTTGGGAAGCGAGAAAGTAGAGTAAGGAAGGAGGAGAGGAGAAGAAAATGGAAGAGGAGGAGTGAAGCTTTTTCCGATCCAAAAGTCTGTGCTCTGTTACCTTCTTCACTTTCTTAGAACCTCATCATTTCGCTCCCCTGCTCTGCTTTTCTCGCTCAATCTTCTGCTCCACTTTCTCTCTCTTGTTTTTCCTTCTGCTCCACTTTCTCTCTCTTGTTCTTCAGCGTTCGTCTCCCCCAGTCGCGTAAGATGCACCCCAATTCCAAACCGCCAAATATAATAACCCCTCGCATTGCAAGTTTTCTGTCCCTACTTTGTATCCAATTTCTTTTTTTTTTCTTCTTTTTTTACTTTTTTTCTTTATTTTGTATCAAATAAATTCCTAACTTATATATGAAAAGAATCTATGTAAAATCAAAAGTTTATAAATTTAATATACATTTTTTTTTAAGTTTAGATACCTATTATGTTGAAATGTTTAATTTATTAGACATTTTATCCATTTGATTTTATTTTTCTGAATTTGGTAGCACAAGCTAGAGGCATTAATTTTAAGAACGGAAATCAAAACATCTAACCTTAAGAATAATAAAAACATTTATTACCATTTTAAAAGTATATTTTCTTATCAATTGAAAAATATTTTCAGTTCATCTACTTTTATTGAACGATTTAATTTGTAATGATTAAATTCTTATACTTTCAAATTGGTAATAATTTAATCCATAAACTGTAGTATATAACAATTTAATCTTCATAGTTAAAATTTTATAACGTTGTCTTTGTGAAAAATATCACTAAAGTGTTGCGTTGATTTTTGTTATGCAATGATTTATTTAATCCCCGTTGTTTTACCTATCTTGACATATAAGAAAGCTCATTAAATGCCAACAATAATTGTTCTAAAAAAAAGCCTAAATCTTTACAAAATTTTAGACTATATGAAAAATAATTTTGAAGCGGAGTTGGGATGGAAAAGCCATCGCAATCTTGATGTCCGCGCGTGGGGTAATGTTTTTTGTAGTTATAGATAATTTTAATTTTTCCATTATTATAAACTATTATTTTATATTTATTGTTCGAGTATGCGATGTGTCACGCATTGTAATTTGTTACTGCGAGAGAGAGAGAGACCCATGCGGGGATCTTACGTCGACGGATACTCTCCCATCATTCACCATTCCCCATCATCTTTCTTTTATTTAATTTTAATATGTTACTCTAAACTTTATTTTTACCTTTTTTCTTTGTCACGAAATTTTATACTTATTTTATCTTATCTTAATCCTTCAAAATAATGTTCTATTTTTTACCATCTCAGATCTGATGGGTTTATAGTAAGCTTGTGCTAATTGATTTATAAAAATATTAATGACAAGTAATAAAGTTTTTTTCTGTTCAAATATTAAAATAAAATATTTAAAGTTAATGATTGGAATAAAAGTTAAACTTTCAAACTTTAATATTTTTTCCACCAAATAAAGTTAAAAGGTTTAAATATTATCATGATCTATATATTTTTGGTTTTGATTTCATTTGATTCATGTACTTTTTCAACTTTTGTGTGTTTTACTCCATATTCTTTCAAAATATCCATTTTCGTTCATGTATTTTTAAAAAGTAATCATTTTAGTACTTTCAATTATATATTTATCTCATTTATTTCTATAAAGATTGTGAATTCGATCCCTCACCTCATATAAATTTGTGTTAACATTTTACAAATAATGACAAAAATAACCACTTTTTAAAAGTACAATGACTAAAACTGACATAAAACCTAATCATCATGGGTGGTTTATTTATAGATTCAAATGGACTAAGATAAATAAATTTAAAGAGAATTGGTTCAAATTTCATGGTGGCAACTGATTCATAAGATTAATCGAAATACGTGTAAACTACTCAAAAACATATAAAAAAATAGTATTTAAACCTCAAAGTAATCTCAACTTTAATAAACAGTAAAGGCAACCGACAACTATGTCACAGGTGTACTTATTTCTATCACTATTCCCCACCATACAATAAGAATTGAGAAGTAAATATGTTTAGAGATCAGCAAATTTGCCCAAAACTCCTCAAAGAATTGAGCACAATACAAGGATCAAACTTTTTTCCCACCCAATTTATACATATTTCAACCAACTTTATGGGACAATCATTCAACTCTACAACATTTGGCATAAAAAAAAAAAAACTCATGCCATAATTTGAACTCAAATATGTTAAGCAATGTTTTAGCATGTTGGACAACATATTTCCAACTCATTTATCCAAAAAAACAAATAAAAGGAGAGAGAAGATTCAATTTCCTTGGGCAATCAAGCCAGATTCAGTCCTGTCCAACCAACACAAACAGTAGTCTTTCTATCTGTAATTAATCATTATCCCAAAAAAAGACCCATCTTTTGACTCATTATTGAAGGCTCATATCATGCCCTTCAACTTGGACTTCTTTGTCTTTGCTATCATTGAGTGCAACACACTAAGGAGGGGGGAAAATGATGAACCCCACATGGGAAAATAGGGTTAGTGAAACCAAGGGAAGAGCTGCAACTTTAGAAGGCAACATTAAAAAATTAAACATTGCTATGATAAAACTGTTCTCTCTAAAAATGCATCATGGGGATACTCTGCTAGGATCCTGCTTGCCCACTTACCAACATTATACAGAGCGAAAAGGTTTTGGATTCCTCAACTGGGGAACAGTGGGAGCTAAGATTAGCTGCTTCTTGTTCTTCACCATCAATGTACCACGTTTTGTGTCTATTTTTCATTCAAACCTGCAAATTAGTCAGCAACTGAACAGCATGTCAAGTACATATTCACAAATTAGAGATCAGATGAATGGGGACTGCCCTTTTTTGCTCTCTTTTTTTCTTACTCATGATGCATTTTAGAGACACCAACCAGGCTTTTGGGCTTCTGCATGTACCAGAAGACAAAAGCAATGCAAGAATAGACATTTGAGAGAGAGAGAGAGAGAGAGAGAGAGAGAGAGAGAGAGAGAGAGAGTGGGTTCAGGGTATTTAGCTAGTGAATTGAATTTGTACAGTCTAAGTTTACAATCACAAGCTATTGATTTGATAATCTTATGCTACACATTTCAAATATACCAAAAGATTCACAAACTAAATACATGTTATGTTATGTCCTTCTACAGTTCAAATCCAGACTATACTGTACAAATTCGAATTTCCAATTCGACGCTATGGATGCATAGGTTTATTAAAATTGTGAATAGAAACCCAAGAATAGTAACGTGATGTGTAAGGGGTGGGTAACAAAAATTTCAGGCTTCGAGATTCAATGAAAAGGGAATATGCCCAAAGAACCTAAAAGGCAGGATATGATCGGGGGTAAAACTCAAGTGGGGCATCAGACAAGAAGCACCATTAAACAGAGCCATTGTGGGCCTACGCCAGACATAGCTGCCTAAAGGAGGCAACATGACACATGCAGCCTCCTCCATTCGCTATTTAAAATAGAGAGAAAAGATCGACGACTCCATTCGTCGATTAGGGACGAAAAAGATAAATATCTAAAGTTTCTAATGTTCTTCTCTATTTGACAACATAATACATCACACTCTCACCCACACATTCTCATTTAATTTTGTTTCAGATAAGGACGGAACGTGGTGTGTGGTGATGAACATGATGATATGAGAACAATGGGTGATAGTAACAGATTCTGAAAGGTAGCATGACATAACTTGAAAAAGGAACATGCATAATAAAATAATTTAGAGAACTTGTCATGTATGAGGATAGCTAAATGGTAGGATCTTCCATCATCCAATAAAACTTAGGTTCGTGTTATCGCTCCCTCGAGTCACTGTAATTAAGGTAGGTACTGGCTGTAAAACATGGAATGACTCTGTAAGGATACAGGCCAAAAGCCAAAATGCTATCCTAGATGAAAATGTGTTGCAACAACACATTGGGAAGAATATTATTACTGTTCTAAGTAGAGGAAAGTTAGTTTTTTTTTTTAATATCCATGAATGTCCGCGCCAACTTACATGCACCTCGACTAATCTCACGAGGCAACCGCCTGACCCTACAACATTTAGTGCGGGAAACACAATTTGGTTTCCCCGTGTTAACTGGAACAAAATTTTACACAATTTACTCATGTATATGCACACTTGTTTTCTTAGAAGTACATACTATATTTTGCCTCTATTGTTAAGGAAAAAAATATTAAAAGCTACAAAGACCTTAGGCTCTGTGTATAGATTGACCACTAAAGAACAGAGCATTCTAAAAACAAAAGGTCCTTCAGGTTCTGGATCTATCTGAGAAAGGTCCCGATCAACAAGAGTAAAATGGGATTGCCGGGCCTGGAAATGTATACCTGATAACATTTACACATCTAACGAGCTAGACCCTTCCAAAAGGAGAAAGTGGCGGACAAGTTACATGTTCTGCAGGAGCCTCTCTTTCAGCTAGATTAGGAGTCCACAATCTATCATTATGCATTAACTTTGATTCTCCAGAAGTCTTTGCTTCAAATAAGATACTTGATTCTGAGAGTTCGCGTGAGTTCCCACAGTCTATCATCGCCAGACAAATGGAGAATGCTTGCAGAAGTGATAAAGAAGATTCGAACTCAACTGAGTATATCGTATCTTTGAAAGTAGCCAGGCTCAAGACACAATGGTTTTCTGGTACTCCTTCCTGTGTGTGAGCAAAGGTTCAAAAAGATCAAACTAAATAAAATGCAGATGACCAAACTAACAAGGTCTTATATCAGCTAGGAGAAATAAAACCTTCTTACCTGAGGGAAAAGCTTAAACTGATCCATTATCGATGAAGGTTGAGATGGACTTGATTTCTTGATGATTTGATTCTGATTGGCAAGAACCCTAAGTTTACAACCTAAATCCCAACCTCCACAGTCACATGAACCACCAGAATTCCAACGTTCAATTAGTGATGAAGGACCACCTTTACTCGGGAGGCTATGGATGCCACTTGGGAGTAAAACTGTTGTACTAATAAAGGACTCACTGCCAGCAGGATGCCGAACCTGCTCACTTCCTTTGGAACAAGGATAACTTTTTACATCCGGAGAACATTCTCTAGATCCACCCACTGTAGAGTTGTTATAAGCATAGCTTTTGACCTCAGTTGTATCAGTGCCTTGCTTGATTTTTGAGGGGATTTTGATAATTATAGCAGCTAGCTCTTCATTTGGCAGGAAATCTGAGGTCTGCTGATCTGCCTGTCTCAAGTCCACAGAAAATAGAACAAACTCTCTCATAGAAGGCTCATCTGGTTTGGTCAAGTGGGAAATCTCTGAATCAGAAACCGTCATTTGTGCAATGACATTGGAGACATAATCACGACCTTTCCCCTTGCTGCCTTGGTTTATCCAACTTACAGTCTTTCTTTTGACTTCCTGAACGGTGAAGAAGGTATAAATATAGCTACCTTTCTCTTTTCTGGAGCTGGTTAACTTCACCGTCGCTGCAAGAATGTTGGAGATATTGTCCACTGCAAATGTGAACAAGGGCAAGCCATTCTTAAATGCAACTTGTAGAAAGGCATGAACCACAGAAGGTCCATGCTTCTTGTCCAGAGCTGAATCGTTGACACTGATTTTTCTGCATCTGCTCATGTCAAGCTTCAGTTTCCTTAATTGTACTGTTGATGAATCTGACTGTCGATTATATGTTTTATCAGCCATGTCATTTAAGTCTTTCTCTAAGGGCTCCACGGCATGATGATATATCGCAGCCTTTGGCTTTAGTAAAGGATCCAGCAACCTTCGAAGAGGGCTGGAACTGGCTCTGCTTGTAGTGTTGGGTTTCTCATTCCTCAAATCATGTGAGTAAGTGGAAGGCATAGCATTCACTGATTTAGATTTGACTGATATTTGTGTTGGACCTTGATCATTTGCACATGTATTCCCCATGGAAGTGGAGCTTTTACGCCTCCTACCCATGCCAATGCTTAAACGACTGAAAGGCGAAGAACTTCTTGCTTTTTCAACAGCACTGGTGCTTGCTTTCAGATCCAACCCAATAGATGCGTCCTTGACCATTGAATTTGAAGGTGCAACAACTGATGTTTTTGCTTCAGATATCCTACCTTTGGATGGACTATGTCCTGCAGTAGCTAAGCTGGATACAGAGCAAGAAGCATTAAATGCATTTATGGTGCAATTATGCTTTAGAAGAAACTGATTTCCCTTAACTTCACAAAGTGTTTTGCTTGAGTTTGGAATATCGTGTTTGAGCTCTGCAGGGAAATTCACTGAAGACCTCTTCACTGAGCAACTCTTCTGACTTGCTTCTTCGGACTTTTGACTTAATAATAATGTTGAATCAGAAAGCCCAGGGACTTCTGTATCATTGTTTTTCAGTAAGTTCGTGGGCAAAAGGACAGTTGCTTCAGGTTTTTCCAGGACGTCATGGTTACCTGCAAAATCTTCTTGTGCACGAGATTTCTCTACTCCAACAAACTCCCTATACTGAGAAGATGCAACCTCACAGTTTAGTGAACCTGGCAGAGTTTTACAGCCTTGAAGAACTTTTGACTGATCTGTCCTCTCTGACCATTTCATCTTTACTTCCTGATCAGTTTTACAGGAATGCTGATTGCACTGGCCATTTAAGGTGTTGATACGGTCAAATTCAAGATTTTGACATTTGTCATCACTTTTTCCAAAGGATTTAACAAATGGAGAATGAGGAGAAGCTAGCAAATGAGACTGCAGTGAAGGACGATGTAATCTTTGACGAGGAGAGATACGATCTTTGATAAAATGGGGAGATGGACTATCAGATGAAGACCCATTACTTCTAACTGGTGGATTCCAGCTACTTCTGCTTGATATTTGTTTGTGCTGCCATTTTTCTAGACGCCCCCAGTCAAGAACCCCTACACTAAGAACTTTCTCCTGGATGTGTTCACCACGTTCAAGATAGCAAGGTAAGTTTGACATGTATTTTACAATTTCATCCTTCTTGGTTATCTTTCCTGAAATTACATCCTTCTGATGGTTTCTAGAAGCCTTATGAGGGCTATCATGGATCTCACCATATGTAAAACTATGTCTTTCTTTATTGAATTTCTCATGAATCTTTACACTTTCGCTAGCATGACGCAATGAAATTCGTCCAGAGGTACCCAAGGATCGTTGATCATCTAAATATCTTTCAATCTCAGCCCGTTCCATATAACCATATAGGTTCAGGAAGGTCCAGTTGTATTTGCAGTATTCCTACTTGCTTTGAATATAGCTCATGACAGGAAAGATCCTAATCCTTCAATATTAGATGGAAACAGGAGATCACAAACACGGCAGGTCGTTCTGTAATAACAGAAGAATAGTGAATATAATGTATCATTACAAACGCATATGGAAAAGCTAAAAGTAGTTTCTGGAACGGAATTTGCATAGGTATACTAAATGTGTAGAAAAGCATGATTCACCTTCTTTTATTGATATGACATAGACTTCAGCTACGTAAAGCAAATAGTCATTTCCTTTAAAATGATTACAGAACGAGCTTCTCTCTTAATTTGTATCATGGTTCGAATGAAGTGGAAATTGAAACTCCGTCTCTTAAATTTATATCATTTGAACTACAAAAATATGCTGTACAAGTAACTTTCACAGCACAACAGTATAAGAATGCTATAGGAGAATATCATCATTCCTGAACCTACGGAATGAAAAAAAAAGAAAACTAGCATCTGATTGTATTTATCAACCAACAGGGCAGAGTAGTATGCGAATAACATTCTCCAACACAGTTAACCTACTTCAGTTGCGACCTCTCAAAAAAGAAAAGTGTGCAGTGCAAGAGTTTAAAATGAACTGTAGTAAGACTTAATGACTGCGCAAAGCAACTTCATGATCGTTGTCCTTATGATCAACAGCAGATTTGTGGAAAAATCAAAACTATCCTATCAGTTCACTTCAGCATAAACTATTCCCAAACACCTAGCTTGGAAATTCAACCACGTACATTTCTGCAATTAATCTTTGATCTCCCAATTCATTATTCACAGCAGAAAATGACCATCATTTAAAAGGCAAAGACCTCCCTGAAATGATATATTGTCATAGTTGGCATATGGTTTTTCAATACACTCTTCCTCAATAACTCTTTCAATAGCATACGCATATAAACCATGCGTATGATTATAGCACTTCATAGACAATAGAGACTGCTTTTTTTAATATAAAATCCACATGGACTGCAAACAAAACACTTGTGCAAAATGACAGAGGTCGGCTTCAAATCTAAAATCATTCAAATTACAAGAAAAATAACGTATCATAATTCACGAACAGACCTTTTTTCTTTTACTTCTTTTTACGGAAGGGGTTGATAGGATATGAAATTGACTTGTGTAAACGCCATCCTCATCGCCCCACTCAAATGCATTCGAATATGATGGAGAAGAAGAAAGGAAATAATAATGGCTAGGGGTCAAATTGTTTCTTGCCTCCCTACTTTTTCTTATGTCTTCAATATTAAAATCCGAGATTTGAGTTATCTTTTATCCAGGAAGCCAATTTCCGAAAACCGAGGTGTGGTCTATACTAGACTAGAGTAAAACCAAACGAAACTTCCTATCTTGCGGAACGCAAAATTGAAATTAGACGCAAGCGAGCAACTGCCAGTACATGAACAAAGACAGACCAGAAAACCGAATTGAAAGCGAACAATTCTGTGGTCCATTCAAACACATTTTGAGGAGCTCAAGATAAGATAAACCGACCGGTCATCTTCTCAGTCGCTTACGATGCTGCCATGACTAACATAAGGGACAAAGGTCCCCAGCTATCCAAAAAGGCAGAGCAGATACTCTTTTTATTTGTTTTCTTGAAATAGTATACTGTAAGCCTGTAAGGCCTCATCGATAGCCCTCCTCATGAATGATTGGAGAGAAAGAGAAAACATATAAAAATACTATAAAATTCAAGCATATTCATCTGTTTTCTTCTCCCTCCTCCAAAAACTACACAGAATGCAAACGTTTCAGACATTACAAATCAAATCCGAACCTCTCTCTAAATGCAATTAGAAATATAAGAACACTAATAGCAAATGCAAAGGTATAGTAGGCCAAACCTCCAACTCGCAGCAGAAAACTATCCTCCAGCTCGAACCTAACAGCTAGTTTCCGAATGCGGAAGGCGGAACTACACAGCAAACCAAATCTCAACAACCTGGAGACGCCATTGGAGCAAAGAAAAAGCAGCTCGTAGCCGAATAAGAGCGTGTCGGTGCGTGGAAAGCAGAGATGGTGAAAGAATCTGCTGACGATCCCAATGCCTGGCTTGAACTGGAGAGGGAATAATGGTGAAAAAGATTCTGAACTCGCAACACTTCAGAACCAGAAGGTTTATTTCACCGAGACGCAGTAGAGAGAGAGAGAGAAGAGAGAGAGAGGTTTTGAGTTTTTGAGTGGCTTGGCTATGGCTTGGCTTGGCTGGTGAAGTAATTATACCGTGAGAGCGAAAGGAAATGAGAGCTCGCATCGTTTTCATCTGACGGCTCCAAAGAAAGATGACATCATTGGAGGGTCACATCTGGGTGGGTCCCACTTCCTCCAGTTTTTTCCCCTTCCTCTCTTTCCCAAATATTCTTATATTAATTAAGTCCAATTAAACAAATCGCTTTTTTTCCACTAAAAAAACAATGTTATTTATGTTTAAGGTTTATATATATATTTTTTTAAATATTATGTTTAAATACTATTTTTTATTCATGTAATTTTTATTCTGGTTTATTTTTTGTTTTTCTACTCCAAACTTGTTTTCATTCTAATACGTACTTTCAAGACATCATTATTCGTGTTCGTACTTTTAAAAAATGATTAATAATTTAAACTCATTTGAAAATTTTAACACAACTTTTATATATAATAAAAATTCTTTAATACAAATTTATGCATATACTCAATAAATTTAGTGAGTGGAGTGTTGTATTAAAAGTAGGATCAAAACAAATAAGATAAAAATTAAATGATCACTTTTTAAATGTATTATTTTAATAATATAGTAATTAAAATGATCAAAAGTTGAAAATCCAATAATCATAATTATTATTTTAAAAGTAAGTAAACCCTAATAAATCAAAGTCTAAAGTAAAAAATAACAAAACAATATTTAAACTTGAATATTACATTGCAAATCAATAAATGATTAAAATCGAAATTTACTATCAAATGAGTAAAAATGTTTCAACTATTAAATTATTGGTTATTTTTCATTTCTTAATTTTTTTATTGAATTTTATAATTTCCTCCTATGAAAATTGTGATTTAAGCTATATTTTTATCAAGTTCAATTGGTGTAGGATT